CGTGATGGTCTTGACAACTCTTTTGATAGGTTAGGGTGGTGAAGGAATAAAAGCATGAAATACAAAATTTTATCAAAGATAACAGTTGATGTACTAGCTATCCCAATTTCAACTATGGTATCTAAATATACTTTTAGTACCAGAAGTAGAGTCATTGACGAATATCGTTCTAGGTTGAATGAAGAATCTATTGAAGCACTTATTTGTGGTGGAGATTAGCTTCATTATAAGTATAGTTTAACGAGACTATCAAAGGTGTAATCTTTTTTTTCCTTTTTATCTTTGATGACTATATTTCTTATTTTTATTTTAAAATAATCTTTTGTTCTAATAATTATTTTTTATTTTTAAGGTGAATGCACAACTTGAAGTGATCACGTTGAAGATTTGATATCTTTCTGCTTGACAATTATTTGTTGGATTCTACGTTGTAGTCTCACTTTTAGTTTTCTTTTCATAATATGGATCAAAATTATTAGTTCGGTATTTAAGATTACATAATATGGACATGTTACCTTTTGAATTATTTGAGATATAAATTTTGTGGAGTTATTGAATATGATCATGTTGAGATATGACATATGTGAAGCCATTTATGTATAATTTTTTTTTTGTCTAAGCATAGTATTTAAATATAATTTATTATCATATGTTTTCAATTTTTCTAATAGTAGACCTTTCGACCTGTTAGCCTATTGGATATTATTCCATTGACTTATTGGCTTGTCAAATTTAAATTGTTAGTGTTATTTGAAGGCTTTAATGTTAAATAGGCTACTAAAAAGTCTATTGGATTAAGTCAGACTTCTAAAAAAGTCAGGTCAAGCCTAAAAATTTGACCTATCACGTTATAAGCCTATATTCAAGCTTTAATTTTGTGTAATAGGTTAGACCCACTTAACCTTAGGTCTGGCTTGACTTGGCCCATTCCCATTTCCTACTTACAAACCAATGTTATTAATGGCAGATGTTGGATCATAGCGAAAAGTCAAAAAATTGCAATAAAATTATTGTAGTTTATATATGTAAAAAAAAAAAAAACATGTCATAAAATGTTAAATTAACAAAACAAAGTGATAGAAAATATAAAAGTTTATTTTTTTTCATCTTATATTTTTTCCTGTTATGTTTTAATCTTCTACTTCTTCATCATCAACATCTTCTTCAATCATCACTTTCTCTTTTTCTTTTATTGTTGAACATAACTATATCTTGAAAATTTTTGTAGCTTTAGTAGCAATACCACTTAATAGATTCTTTCATTTCTTATAATGAAGCCTAGTATATGTTTCATGCTCTCCAACTCTAAAAGCTTCATAAATAGTTACACAAAAAAGTGGCATTTATCATAAAAAATTAAGTACTTTCCAACATCGTTATCATGAGCATTATCATCCATCTCCTCAACTAACTACTCATTAGACTCACCAATGCCATTGAGTATAATTGGATCAATTACATCTTTAAGATTATAACATTTGAATTGTTGGTTCTCTTTTACATGAATCAAGTCATGCAATTTTTTTGATCAAGTCTATTTCTCTTATTTGAATGAATGTGCAACATAAGTGTAATTTAAGAAATATTGATAAGTTTCTTATAATTCCTAGAAGTAAGTATAAGGCTTGACTATCAAAATGAGATTAAGAAATTACTTGCTAATGCATTTACATTCTGATGCTCTACATGACAAGCTCGAAACTTTGATAGCTAATTGCTGCAAATTTGGAGCTAAATGGCCATACATTTGCCACCATTGAGCTATAAAACAAAATATAAGTAATAACTTAAAAGAGGCCTTAACTTTAAATTGAAATTAAAATGTTGAAGTCTTTGAAAAATTATGAAGTTGGACTCTAAGAGACCTCCACCACTCTTATAAATTGGTAGTTTAAGTAATATGTTTTGTTCTACATTCTAACTTGGAACTAACCTCTTAATACAATCATGTAATCCTTTTGTAACCTTCAAATCAAACTTTATTTTAGAGTTGTCATAAAAGAACTCTAGGTTTAAAATGTGACCAATTACATACAAGTGACCATGAAGTTAATAGATCTATTTATTATCCATGACTGTAAGCATATATTTGTATTTACTTTCATTATTTCTAAAAGACTTAATGATGACTTTTTTAGCCTTATCTATTACTTTATAAATATATCTCAAGAATGGTCTTCTTTTACAATTAACCAAACAAACCACCTGAATAAAAGGAGCAACGACTTTAAGGGTATTTTGGGTAGAGAGTTTTGAATAAGAGCACATATTTTTAACTTTTAAATTAAAATATATATATTATTTATGATGATAAATATATGATTAATATATTAAATTTATGTCAATATATCAATTATATATTTTTATTGTAAAAAATATTTTTAAACATATTTATCTAAAGTACAAATTTTGTCATCCCCTCCTCTCTTTAAAACTTCTCTTCCCAAACAACCTTTAAAGTATAAATCACATAATTCCAAAATGAAGGCAATGATACAACTTTTGTGCTTGCTTCCCTTTAGCTTCCTTTGACAATTGATTTTTGTACCACACTTTAGAAGTGAATATTTTTCTAATATTTAATTTTTCATTATAAAGCATTTCTAATGATAGAAAAGAAGTTGCATTCTGATATTGTAATGGGTCTCTATGGGTCGGTTATCCTTGTCTCTTGAAAACATTAGTAAGGATGAATTTTCTCCCCATTACTAAAATATAATATGTTTTAAAGCATCACAATATCAAACACAATGATAAATATGTCAACAAAATCAAAACACATATACTTAAGTCAACTAATCAATAAATTTCTCTCTCAAATATGCACTTCTTTGTACAATATGATCACAGTTATTGGTTGCTTCTAGCATTTTATGAGGTCTTACACATATAGGTGAATAGTCATTGGTTAACCCATATACGCAGATATAACATATACAATACATGGCTCCTTAGCAAAAGTATAGTTAGGAAATAAGTGTGAGGCTATATGATGCATTCACTCCCAAATAGATTGTGTACACACATGTAAATGTCAATCACCATCCTATATTTCTCCTCGATTTCTATAATTGGCTCTATATTTTATACTCTCAGTGTATCTCTGTAACTATTTATACTAATTTTTTCATCACTTTTTACTCATAATACATTTTCTTTCATCTCATTCTAATTATTTAGTCAAATAAATCGTGCCTAAAGTAAAACACCTTCAGATTAAGTTCATATAACATATATTGAGATAAGTACATTACAATCACTCAAGGTCAACCAAATATGCATCATAAACTTTTCACAACAACCAAAATCTCATTCAAACATATATTTACAAACAAAGAAAAACACATCATCATACTCTCATAATGTTTGCATCCATGCACTTGACATGATGAAACAATCTTGTTTGCTCAATTACTCCTTATAATCTTTTAAGAGAGAATTAGTATCTTTTAACTTCTTTAAAAATGAAACTCTAATCTCATGATAATTTAGAACTGGAAAAATTTGGACTAAAGACACTATGACTATAACAATTTCTAAAAAAAAATTCAATTTAATAAGATTAAAGAAAAGACTATCTTAATACCAAAATCGAGCTATATATTGATGGACCATTACCTTTGTTTTTTTTATCACATACTTCTCTTATATTTGCTTGCCTCCATTTTAGCTTCTATCTTTTGTTAATGTCAGTTTCTGAGCTTTTACAAAACAAGTTAATTAGTCATTTCTTATCAACCATCTTATTCTTCCGTAGCAATACTACATACCAAGCTATCTTATCTATCTTTACTTTCATCATAGCCTATACTTATAAGATTTCTCACAAAATTTAAAAGTTGTTTTGACTCATTTTCTTCTTTTGATATACTCCAAGCTCCTTTTTAACTTTTTTTAGGGTAATATTTCACATTATCTTCCTTTCTAATTAGATGTTGTTTGACTTTAGTGCCCGTAGACTCAACTTTTCCACAAAAATTCAATACAATATTATTTGTATCACTATTTGTCAATAAATAAGCATATTTCCATCTTGAGTCACAATTAAAAACTTTTGAAAAATTTGATGAAGACTTTTGTTCAATTACAATAAGAAAAGTTGAACTAAAGAAGGAATGTTTTAAGGAGAAAAAGAAAAAAATAATTTTAAAATAGAGAACAAATTCAATGGTCACCAAAAAGAAGTCACAAAAAAGTTAAAATAAAATGAATTTAAAGCATTGAATAGATTTAATAGGAGAGGAAAAAAATTAAAAAAAAAGTAGCTAACCAAAAAATAAAGTCACTAAATGGAGATAATAATGATCATTAAAAATGCAGATAGTAACAATTGTTAAAAATTCAACAACAATACTTGCATAAAAATGAAAATGAAGAAGAAAGACATTGAAAAAAAAAAGAAAAGAAAAGAAATATAAGTGGCATAAAAAAAAGTTTTAAATTTTTAAGTTTATATTCATTTTGGATCATGTGAGGTCCAACTCTTGTTTTTATCTCAAAAACTACCATTTTCGTCATGGTTACCGTTACCGTCAACCTTGTAATGGTCATCATGGCACCACCGTTGCAAACTCTGCAGTTTTTTGCCATGATTGTTGTATTTTGGGTTGAACTCATCAACACCATCCGCTATGGTGCCGCTTAAACAACATTGTCGCAAAAGCGAAATATCTTCAAAGTATTATATGTGTGAATTGTAAAACAAGATGCGAACAAACTGATATAAACAGTGAATTTAAGAATACATCATTAGGAATTGAATACAATACAAGAAAAACAAACTGATTTTCTATTTAATGCATACTAAAATATAAAAATAGTTATCCATACATACCTTAAACTCACTGTATATTAGAGTTTCTTAGATCACAATGTTCACCATAAATTAAAAAAAGTTTAATTATCAATTGTTATAAAATACACAACAATTAATCCGAACACACTACTATCATATCTTATGGTTGCTCTTATAATAATTACTTCACAAGAGCATATAAACTAAAGTGTTAAAGAAAATGCTAATGGCGTTTCTATTATTTCCTTCAGTAGAATCCTTGCCCGTTACAAACCTACATCGAAAAATTCTGAGACATCTATGCAAGTCTTCAATCAAATGATGTGTAAAATACGAGTAAGCCAGCATAATAAATAAAGAACACATCATTAGGAAAAATATTCAATATCGTTATTCCAAGGCCATACTTAAGCTTAAGCTTCAGCACTACCAATTGAAACAGCCTTATCGTAAAAAATGAACTTCAACATTTGATACAAAAATAAGTGACCTTTTGTCCTCTACTAAATGAAAAAGAGGATTCATCTCTAACATGTTATCTAGACATAAATCGGAACAACTGGCTACAAATCACTCCTCATCTCACTTCTTCACCTCTTCATATTCTGCCTCGGGAGCTTGATCCCCACCCTGAGAACCACCAGCTGAGGAACTGCCACTAGATCCACCTGACATGTGTTCCCCAATCTTGGATACAGCTTTGTTTGCAGCATCAAGCTTTGACTTAATTTCATCCACATTGTCACCTGACATCGCCTTTCTCAAATCCGAAACAGCATCCTCAATTTCTTTGGCAACTTCACTGGGAATCTTGTCTCTGTATTCACCTAAACTCTTCTCAATGCTGTATATGGTAGTATCAGCACTGTTTCTAATGTCTATGAGAGCCTTTCTCTCTTGGTCTTTCTGAGCATGCAACTCTGCTTCTTTGACCATCTTTTCAATCTCATCTTCCGAGAGTCCACCGGATGACCGAATGGTGATTTGTTGTTCTTTGCCGGTGGACTTGTCTTTGGCAGAGACAGTAACAATCCCATTGGCATCAATGTCAAACGTGACCTCAATCTGAGGCAAACCTCTGGGAGCTGGAGGAATACCAACAAGCTCAAATTCTCCAAGCATTTTGTTGTCTGCAGCCATTTCTCGCTCACCCTGTAGCACCTTGATACCTACCTGTGTTTGATTGTCAGCTGCTGTTGAAAAGACCTGAAATAATGACATAAATCAGCAGATCATTCAGTAACAACGAAATAATACATAATACCAAATCATATTGGATCTATTTGTAAACCTTGAATGTGTGGATGTGCATCACACTATGCATCACACTATGCATGGTATAGGTACTTAGTGGGGGACTTCAATTAAACACAATGTACGGTTTAAATGTGAAGTTGTAAACAAATGCCTTAAGCAATTATCAGGAATTAAGTATTACCTGACTCTTTTTAGTAGGAATAGTAGTGTTTCGGTTGATCAACCTGGTAAAGATACCACCCAAAGTCTCAATACCCAGAGAGAGTGGAGTTACATCCAGGAGAAGTAGTTCTTTAACATCTCCTCGTAGGATACCACCTTGGATTGCTGCCCCCATGGCAACTGCCTCGTCAGGGTTTACTCCTTTACTAGGAGACTTACCAAAGATGGCTGAAACCACTTCTTGGACCTTAGGCACACGAGTCATTCCTCCAACAAGAAGTACCTCATCAACATCCTTGATAGATATGTTGGCATCCTTCAAGCAGCTCTTACATGGCGCCTTGGTCCTTTCGATCAAGTCATTTACTAAAGCCTCAAACTTAGATCTAGTCAATGTTATGTTCAGATGCTTAGCACCAGAAGCATCAGCAGTAATGAAAGGCAGGTTGATCTCGGTTTGAGATGTTGAAGACAGTTCTATCTTTGCTTTCTCAGCAGCTTCACGAAGCCTCTGCAAGGCAAGCCTGTCCTTTGAAAGGTCAATGCTCTCAGTTCTTCTGAATTCGTTTACCAGAAAATCCAACAAAGCATTGTCAAAATCCTCTCCTCCCAAGAAAGTGTCACCGTTTGTTGCTTTCACCTTTTGACATCAAGATGTTATCATTATTACTTCTGACAGGTTAAGAAAGAATCACAGAGAAGAAATAGATCGGCATACCTCAAAAACACCATTAGAAATTTCTAAGATGGACACGTCAAATGTTCCACCTCCAAGATCAAAAACAGCAATGAGACCCTCCTTGTTGTTCATCCCATACGAAAGGGCAGCAGCTGTGGGCTCATTGATAATTCTCTGCACATCAAGACCTGCAATTCTTCCGGCATCTTTTGTTGCCTGCCTCTGAGCATCGTTGAAGTAAGCTGGCACAGTGATTACAGCCTTAGAAACTGACTTTCCAAGGTAGGATTCAGCAGTTTCCTTCATCTTGGTGAGAACAAAGGCACCAACTTGGCTAGGGGAGTACTGCTGCCCATTAGCTTCAACCCACGCATCTCCATTTGGAGCTTTGACAATTTTGTATGGAACCATTTTCATCTCCTTTTGCGTTTGAGGATCATCAAAACGCCTACCAATCAAACGCTTTGTACCAAACAGAGTGTTTGTTGGGTTAGTTACAGCCTGACGCTTGGCTGGGGTACCTACAAGCAGCTCCCCTTTCTGGTTGAAAGCAACCACAGAAGGTGTTGTTCGCGCACCTTCAGAATTCTCAATGACTTTGGGGTTCTGATAACCATATATTTCAAATAAGCACAAATACCATGTATTCGTATAAAACACACATAAACAAATTAAAACCATGTGTTACCTTTCCTTCCATAACAGAAACACAAGAATTGGTTGTACCCAAATCAATACCAATGACATCATTTCCAGCAGGCCTTGAACTGTAGTGAAGATGAAAAGTCGGTGAGTAATTTTGATCAAAATATCGTACGAGAATTACAACAATGATACCAACGAATGGCACCTGAATGGTCGAGACAAACTAGACCACTTTTGACCTACATATGCTGGTTTAGTGCTGCCTGTCAACTGCACAACCACGTGAAAAGTAAGAAAACTTCCTTCAGATTAGTAGTCACCATACAAATAAACTATTTATAACTTTTCTAGGGATAACAGAATAATATCAACAATTATTTACATAATTCGTCAAAGGCACAAATCCCACCCAAAAAAAAAAAAAAAGATTCCTGGGGATAGATATACGCTAAACAATGCTAAATTTGTAAGCTAGAAAACCGACCATGAAAAGCTTAGATTAGCTGTAATGAGAGAAATATCATAGACCAACAATAAAGTCAGTAGACAGAAATACACAAATGATCTAGAAAAACTATGAGCCAGTATAAAAACTGCTTAAAGCTAATACCCTATATAAGTAATTTCGCATGAAAGTCCCACACTCAAACCTGTTCAAAATATCACGAATACAAGAATTTTCGAGCCGTAATTCCGTCTTTTCCCCTCAAACTAGAAGAGGTTCCAATCCTAAATAACTAGAGCCAAAATCACGAGAAATATGTAACTCAAAATAAGCATAATTACAAGAAATGGATTAAGACAACACGGATCAATTCGGAAAATCTAGGTAATTGGGAGCAACCAACGCAAGTAACAAAAGAAAAGAAAGAAAAGAAAGAAAAGGAGAAGGAAGCAGAGACGTTACCGAGCGATAGGCAGAGAAGGAAGCAGAGGCAACATCGCGGCGGCGGAGAGAGCGGAGGAAGGCGGCCATGGCAGAAGTGGAGATTGATCGGAAAGGAAATGAAGAAATGTGAAGGTGCTCTGAGGGGTTTTATAAGAGAGAAGGGTTTAGGGTTTTGGTCCTTTCCAGTTACCTAAAGAAAAAGAAAACAATATTTCCTTTTAACTCAGCGGAACATTATTCTTGTTCTTCTAAAAAGTCAGAGAGAATGAAGGTTCTAGATCGATCACGCAGTGCCTTTTTACTGAGTTAATAGATTTTTAATAATTAAAAATGTCCCAGTATGAAATTATTTTCGAAAATGATCTGATACGTAAACCACTGTATGAAGTCGATTTTAGGCATACTGATTTCTCAACGTTATTTTTTAGAACACCGTTTAAGGGGATATTATTAAATTAAAAATTACAATGAAAATATATTAATAACATTTTCAATATCAATTTCTGCGGCAATCCTTGAGTCGACAAATGTATATATATGTGTAATTTATATTCATTTAGAGCTTCCTCAATTTTTAACACATTTAGAAGTATAACTAAGAATGATCAGTCGTAGTCCGACAAGTAATAGACAATTTTCACACTGTAGAACTAGTCGCCGTTTTGAATGTTGAATTTGTTGTAATTTTTTTACTTTATTTCAAAATATATATTTATTATTTTTAAATTGATTACAGCTTTTGTGTTAAAATCCTTTTAATTTTATAAAAAATTATAAAAAAGTAAAAAAAAAAAAACATTTTATTTATAAATTAGTATATTATTAAGCTTTGACAACAAAAAATGAGTTTTACACACTTTCTTGATTGTTAAGTAAAAGAAGAAGAAAAAGAAAAGTTAGTAGACTAAAATAAAAAATTGAGTCTAAAAATAATAGCCGACTAGAGTAAAAGTAGAGAATTTTTTTTTTTATTTTAAGAGTAAAAAAAAAAAAAACGATGACAGAAAATGAATTTTACACTCATTTCTTGATCGCTAAGTAAAAAAATAAAAAATAATCGCTAATTTTACACTCATTTCTTAAATCCTAGAAGTCACAAGTTTCATTTGAGCCTTTTTTGTTTTTTTTTTTCCTTTCGACCTTGCATTTTTTTTGTTTATTGGACAGTTCATTTTTTTATCAGTCCTTTTTTTTTTATGCTTCAATATCACAACAGAACTTCAGTGGTCTATTTGGTACAAAAATGTCTTGACACCTTAAACTCATAATCCTCTTATTTATATACTCTTTCATTTCTTTCTAACAAACTAACGTGAGACTTGTTTTCTATCAAGTGGTTGGATACTTGTTCTCAAGATAAAGAGGAATTTGTCAAGAAAGTGAACTATTATATTAAGCTTAAAACAGAGCACGGAAATAGTAATAAAAGTACCTAGAGTAGTTCCAATCTATTAGGGACAACTAATAACATAGGAAACCGAAAAATCTGCTGCTAACCGAAAAAGAAAAGTATACTGTACAAGTTTGAATGTACCTATAGTTGCCAAAACGAACGTGATTGATCCAGATACACTTTCCCCAAGGGGGAAAACAATGAAAGAATAAGCAATAAGCTTGCATTGATCACAATCTCCATTTTAGTCTACCAGAGAATCTGTGCTTCATGAGATTCCATTTAGGCTCAGATGCTTGTTATACTGACAACTAATTGTCAGTTTATTACGTTTATTCTGCCCGAATCATTGAAAAGAAGCTAATAAAATTGCTTGAGTAAGTGAGACACTCTTGAAAACAGAAGCCAGTGACAGTTAGTTGACTTGAATGTTCATTCATAGAACGAAACAGGCAATGCCATGAACTGGAATAGGCACCTCTTAACCATTAAATCCGAAGGTAGCCCCCTCTCTCCTGATCTATTCTTAATGATCTCTTGAGCAATGACTTCCTGTTCAGTGACCAGTTTCTTCCCAGAGCTCTCTTATTTCGCCAAGCAGCGGTTATTTGGGTGTAAAGAGCAGGGAAAATGAAGCATAGTAGTACAAGAAGTAGCATGAAGACACAGAGTAACATGACATTCCGAAAACCATCTTTTAGCTCTGGAGCGTTTTGACCTGTCCATGGAACTCCACCAACATTCATGCCAAAGACTGCAATCAAAGTCCAAAAATCAAAATCATACAATATTGAATAGCATGTGGATGTGGATAATAGAAGTTCATAACAAATGCTAACCTCCTGTTATGATGGACAAAGGGAGGAATATTATTGAAAGGAAAGAAAGATAGTACAGTTTCCTGTTTATTTGCTCTGACTGCCAGCTGTCAAGACCAGCCTGAATAGCTGTGACACGATTTACTATAAACCCCACATTCTCCTTAAGCCTCCTTAACCTTCCAATTAGTTCTTCAAGGGAGTTAACATCTTCATTGGCAAACCATCTTTTTGAAGAGCATTTTTCTTTGACTCTAAGATATACTTGCTCTCCATGGGCAATCACCTGAATAGAATTAAGGTAATGCAAAGGCAAAAGAAGTTTAGTCCATACACTTTGATTTGACAAATATGAGAGCCAATCAGATGAAAACCGTATCACCATCCCAATGCACAGGAACATTCCTTGTTATTATAATTTAGATATTCACGTTGACAATCTATTCTTTCCATGTTCATTTTTACATCTAACATGACAAAGAATCATTTTCCAGTAGCAATTATGTTTTCACAAAGCCTTTTTATTTTCATTTTTGAAAGCAATTATGAGTAAGCTGTTGAAATCGTGACAAAAGGAAAATGAAAACACATTAAATCCTTGTATGCAGAATAAAACCTGTAAATATTTTTTTATATTGTCTCTCCCAGATTAATCTGTATTTTTAATCCAAAAGGCACCCTTATTGAATCTAGATGCTATTGAATATACTGTGATGATGAAACCCACAACCGTCGAGCTTGATCATACAACTATAATGTTTAATTATCCATGATTCATTAATATAGTGAGCTTAATGAGATTTATTAAACTACTGCTTGATGCCTTTTGTTTCTCCTCTCAAGGGTCTATAACATTAAATCAGAACGAGTATATAATATGAGTAAAGCATCACCTGCAGGAGACGTTGCAAATTAATATGCAGTTTGGGGAATCTTCTGTCGTCTAGCATTTGTTTTTTCAGAGCATAACCACCTACAATCAAGCAGAATAGCTGTTCCTTAATTTAATTATATAAAAGAAATTTAAATATCACACATCAAGCAACTAGTACAGAAGCTACAGGCACAAAAAAAAAGACAGAAACGGAAAGTTCAGTTTATATATAAAAGCATCTCAGATGAAATAAGCTTACGTTCCTCCGACCAAAAATTTTTTAATGTAAGCTAATGCTACACTGCGTCTACATCAAAATGTCACATGAACTTTCTTCTTGTTTTTCAAATCAGCTATACCAGGAATTCTTAGTTTGGGGTTTGGGCAGGGAACAGTGGTTAAAGTGCAAACTATTAACAACTAAATATCCATCCAAGCAGTCACTATCTTTCTGTCAAATATTATGCACTAGAGGCCTTCATGTGGCCTTCCTCATTGCATAATAGTGGTATAAACAATTTAAAGGCACATGTTTTACCAACACCCCTGCACACATAAGAGGAACTTATAACACTACAATTAAAAAAGGAGACACAAGGATGCAAGTGCAAAGCCATTTTTGGAAAGTACATTCAGTCAATTTTTTAAACTATAATCAAAATATGTTAAGTGGACCATGAAACGTGATAAATACAGGTTTCCAGGAAATTAATATCATATTTCCATTAGCTGAATACCTAAATAGTAAGAAATGAAAAGAAGGAAAAAAATCTTATGGGCTTTTCCAATGAGATTTGTCGAAAATAGAGGAAGCTTCCTCGTTATTTAATTAATAATAATATGACACAAAATCCCATTCTTCTTTTCTCTATTCCCCCCACCCCCCCAAAAAAAAAAAACCAATTTAACATTTCAACATAACATAAACTTCCCCTACATAGATTCATAAAAACAACTGTCTATGTAATTTGGAAAACAAGGAGGTCAGGGTAATTTTTTCAAACTTCAGAGAAGATCTATGTAATTTCTAAAACATAAGCACAGAAGAATGACCTCAAGTATGTCTAGATTCATATCACTGTTCCTTTCAAGTCAATGGAAACCAAGGCAGACTTTTAGCAATCAATAACATCCTGAATTTGTTAAATTTAAAGTAAGAAGAGAATTAAAAGTGGCAGACGAAGAGGAGGTGGGGGAATCAAGGAGTGTATGATGGAAACTACCTTTATCTAAGTCAAGCTCCACGGAGTCCAACTCCATCTCAAGCTTTGTCACAAGATCTTGAAGTTGATCTACATGTGTGTCAATTATGTGAACTACAAGATTTGCGACAGATCTAGGCACTGGGTTGTCAGCTTCCTCAGAGTGATTCATAGTCAATAAGAACTCAAGAACATGCTCCTTGATCACAATCCCATTTCTTTCCTGCTGCTGACCTCTTGTATGGGAGGAGCTTTCAACACTAGGAATCTCCGAAAGTAGAGATTCACCCATGCGTGAGAAACCTAACCTGGGAACACGCCCCAACGACACAGTAATCACTGAATGTTCTGTAACTCTAGCAGCAATCCTAAATGTGAAGTCACTGGAGGGAGGACCAGGCGAATTAACCCGGAAGACAAGTGCCCCATCTACATGAGCACAAAAGGGTCCATTGCTAACAAGTGAAAGAATATCTTGAAGCTTCAAAGGCGGGCAGAGAACACCAATCAAGTCCTGTGCAGATTGTGATAACTTTTGATTTCCTTTTGGTAGTTCCACATGATACCAAGAGAACTCGTTCCCTTGACCTTCTGCTACATCCCATTCCTTATTCTCTTTCTGAAAAAGGTCTGCTAGGTCCCAATCCTTATGATAAAAATTCCCCATGCCATCAAATATATAAGCCCTCTTCTTCACCAATCCTGCAGGATGCATAGGGTAAATTCGGTGCTCCCTGAGAGGCACACGTGCCGAAGTTTCACCATCCATCTCCTCAGCTACCCCATTCTCCATTACTCTATGCTGAGCTAGTTCCATAACTTTCTCCAACTACCCCAAAATAAAGCTTCCAACTAATAAACAAACTGATAGGTATTAACAACTTGATCCAAAAACCCCAACTTCAAAATTCGAATATCCTATCTCATAAACTTGACACTTCAGATCAATCTCACATCCTTGAAAGCAGCATACGTATCATGGATTTGCTATTATTTGCAATCTCAAAACCAAAGTTCGACCCAATGTGGAATTGATCCAAATTGACTGAAAGTAAGAAACACCCAGAAGAGCATTCAAACAACCCAACAATAGGCTCGATAAAATCTTCTAACAAAAACCATCATGCACAAAACGAATCAAACCCTGAACAAAGTAGCACTTTTCAAATTTCATTCAACTCAGCAAATTAATACGACAATAAAAAAAAACAAAGGCTAAAGAAAAAGGGTTGTATTACCTTGTAGAATGCACAAATGAAATCAATGAATGCCTAAGAAACTAAAACGTTGAAATTGGCTAAAGGCGAAGGTCGTCATTGAAAAGCGACCCAATATTGAAAGGTTCAAAGGGAAGGTATTTAAGGGTGCGAGAAACTAATTAACTAACAGAATATCAATTCGAAAGTGGTTGTCTTGTAGAGACGAGCTTCTTGGAAACTTCCTCTCACAATGAATCCAATTCTTATCTGTTCACAGCAGTTACGAACTGCAAGCTTCCCAGTTTTGAATTTCTTTTTAAATTAAAAAAATTGTGCCCAGAAAATTGTTTTTTATCTATATATTAAAGTAATTAAACATTATTTTTTATGTTGGCCAAAGGGCAAAAACACGTCATGGGGTATTTAAAAATTCTGCCTGCGTTTGGTTTTAATATGGTTATACATAGAATCTATCTTTAAACTTTAATGAATCAAATTGTAATATACTTTAGATTAAATTATAATATGCTTTATGCAAAAAAAAGTGTTTTCAAATTTGTTTTTAATGACTGTTGAAAATAATGTTGTTTAATCGAACTATGAACATGAGTTAATACAACTTAATGGAAATTTAAGTTTCAAATTAATTATTAAGGAAATATAAAAAAGAAATAACCAATTATTGAGGCTAGTCTGTTTGGAATGAAATAATCAATTTCAATCGACTCAGGTAAATTTAAGTTGGTTCTGATTATGTGACGATGTTTGTACATTGTATGATTTGATTAATTTCTTTAAAAAAAATTAAAATTAAAGCTAAAAATATTAATTGAGAAAAAAATAAAATTTTATTTCATACATTTATCATACTCTCTTCTACTTCAGTTTCCCTTTTAATCGGGAACACAAGGATTGAAATTGCAAAATATTTGCAGGATTTTCGAGTTTACAATGTTTTGATGTTGCGTAAACGTAACTTTTTTTTCACACCTGAAACAACACAAAACAGGACCACTAACCACATCTACGATCACGTTACTATTCCTCTATACAAAATTCTACAAAAAAGGTATCACCAGTCATTATGTTTTTTTATTAACGAATCATCTTAGCACCAACTAGTAGACCTTAAGCACTATATCACTCACATAAATAAATATGCATATAATAAGAATTCATAAACTAGTAGGATTTTACCCAAATTAAGAGAGAGAGAGAGAGAGAGAAAAGTGGACCACTTATGCCAAGTTACAAAATGTTTTTTCAAGACCTAAAAATAAGGAAAACGCGTCAGAGGAATGGATCAAAACCACTAATGTGAAGGTAAAAATAAGAGTAAATCTACGTTCTAATCTTAAAATTAAAATCATGTCTCAATCACTTTAATTTTTATTTTTATATTTTTTATTTTGAATATTGACGTCATTAATTATAGTATTCTTTAATAAAAAAAACTAAAAAAATTGCAATGCCAAGAGTTTAAGTAAAAGTTTTACGGGGTTAAGAATAAAAATAATTTACACTTAAAATTTTAATACTAAAAAAATTACTTGAAAAGAAGAAAAGAAAACAAATTTTATTTTAAATTTTGATATAAAATTTATGGATCTCACTATAATGTCTGAGATATATAATATAATTAAAATTGGTTATTTAAATTTTAAATTTAAGTTTTTTAAATTAACAAGTGTCAATTAAAAAGTCTTTAACATTAAGAGACATAAAAATTGAATAAAAAAAATGTAACAACACAAAACATTATTTTAAGATATTTTAAAAATAATTTATTTTTATCTTTCTTTTAATATAATTTTAATAATAAATTCTTTTAGTTCCTTTCTTCCTTTTTTTTTATTCTCTTTAATTATCTTTTATAATATCTTCTTCTCTAACTATCTCTTTAGCCTCTAACTACCATAAACTACTCTATATCATTAATGTTGTTGTCATTTAACTAAAACATTATTGATCTTCTTTCTCTCTTATACCTCACAGCAAGAATCACTTTGTCACTGTCTACATTTTCTTCATTATCTCTGTTTCCAACTATCATAAATCACCCCTTATCATTGATGTTGTTGTTAATAGTCAAAATGTTGTTGACCTTTCTTCCTCATTTTCAAACATTTGGTGTTGCAGATAATAGCTAAAATGTTGTTGATCTTCCTCTCTCATTTTCAAACATTTAGAGGTGAATGTCATTAGTGCAATGGAGACAAAACATAAGAGAAGAAGAAAATAAAAGGACATTACTGCTCAAAAATCTCAAAAATTAAAAATAAATTTAAATTTTTTAAAATAACATTATTTTTTGTCCTTCCAAATATTACTTAATATGATTAATTATCATTGTGTTACTTAATTTTAATATTTTTTAACTATTAATAATTTTAGAAGCATAATTTAAATGACATTATATATTTTAGAAATTAAAGTAAATTGTTACTTTAAAGTTTCCTGTTACCTTTTTTTAGTATAAAATGATATCATTACAAATATACAATGCATATAACGCTTAACTAAAAACCAAACCATAAACCAATAAATAATTTATAGAATAAATTAAAAATTTTAATTAAATATTTTCAATCACAATTAAAGTTAAAATGTTGAAAAATTTTATATTAAATTATTTAATTGTGCATTTTTATTTTAACATTTATATGAAAATTTTTTTGCAGCAAATAATTTTGTATTTATAATCAATACATGTAATCAAACATGTTTTTCTTATAATATTAAATAACAATAAAAAACTATGAAATAAAAAAGATATGTGTTGTGGTACCCTAAATAATTTTTATGGATACTATACTCAAAAAACTTATACCAATAAAAAAAATAGACACCTGACAAGTTTTAAAAAAAAATATTACTATATATAATTTATTTAAAATTATATTATTTGCTACGTGGTGCTATTAATATATATATAGTATATTAAATTTTTTATTTTATTTTTTTATCATTTTTTAATAAATTTTTAGTTTAAAATAAAATATAACTCATATTTAAACAATTTCTAGTTATTATAAATAAAAAAATTATAATATAATATATGAATATAATAATTAAATAATTGAATATTAATAATAATAGAATTAAAAATATAAAAAATATATTAATATAAAATTATTATTTTATTTTAAAATTTTAGTTTATTTAATTTTGATTGCATCTTATTTTTTTCAAAAATTTAATTATTTTTTAATTTGTTTAAATGTAGTAAATATAATAATTTATTATTTAAATACGTATATAAATATTTTTATTTTTGAATAGAATATAATTTTTATTTATTATAAATAAAAAATTATAACATAATATATTAACATAATAATTAAATAATTAAATATTAATAATAATATAATTAAGAATATAAAAAATATATTAATATAATATTTTTTTTTTTTAATTTTAATTTATTTAATTTTGATTGTATCCTGATTCTTTTCGAAAACTATTCTTTAGTTTATTCAAATGTAATAAATATAATAATTATTATTAAATAAATTTATTATTCAAAAATGTGTCTAAATATTATTAGTTAGAAATTTACGTGTACGGTACCTTGAAAATTTTTAAGAATACCACAATATTTGCCAATCAAAAACCCTAAAGTAAAAAAAATATATATATTTAATACCATAAATATTTAACCATATAAAAAGTATTTTAATTTTTAAAATGTTGAAAAATATCAGCATTTATAAAAGAAAAAACTACTTTTTATATGAATTAATTTTATGTCCTACATGTTTTATATTTCATTAAACTATGTATGTACTAGTTACTTATTTAAGGTTATATTTGTTATAGGTGACTTGTAGCTTATTTAGGAGCTCGAAGATTATTGATTTAATCAATAAATTTACATAATTATTTTGTAAATACAAAATGAAATGAATTAATACATTGATTTTATTGTCATTTTATTTTTTTTATTTTTATGTTTGTCTTTTCTTTTTTCTCTCTCTCTATTTTTATTTTTTATTTATTAATAATTAACAGCATATTTTGTTAGATAAAAATAAATGAAATAGATAAATAATGATTTTTAAATTAAATTATTTAAATTAATTCATGTATTTTTTATATAATATATTAAAATTAATAATTTTAAAAAGGGATAAATAAACTTTTAGTCTATATATAAGACTTCTTTTTGTAGTATAGTCCCTATTGGTTTTTAAAAAAAGTGTATATTTGCCTCAATATAAAAATTTATTTTTAATTTTGTCTCAATAATTATGATACATTGAAATTACATCAAGTGTCTCTCTTAGTTTGCAAATGATTACCAATGTGACATATTTATATGATCTTTTAATCTCTATTTTAATACATTTTTTTTCGTGATTTAGTGTCGTAACTCCTTTTTTTATAAAGAATCGAGAATATTATTTCTACACCACTTACTTATTTAAGATAGATAAATAATGAAGAATATAAGTATAAAATTCACTTCTCATTCAAAATAAACAAAGTTGCTTACAATAAATATCTAATAGAACAACCTAATATTACATTTAGTTCATAATACTCAAAATATACAAAATTATACTACATAACTCCCTCTATATGAGGTCTCAAAATATAAGGAAAATGATTTTAATGCAAAATTACTCAACTCCAGCCTTCTAACACTTCTCCACTGGCTCCTCAACTTGTGAAATAGATGCAACACCTGCTACATCTACTCGCGTACCACCGTACGATTATCACAATACACACGCACACAACAGCATGAACAAAAATGCAAGGGGTGAGCTTACAAAAATAAAAATAAAATCATATATATAGAGCAAAATATTACTCACAACAACGGTCTCATGCATTCCCAGCCCATCTAATGCACAGCATGAAAATGATTCCAACTGGTTTCATAGCCTAAGTTATCAAGAAGGAACCAAGCCAGTTCGTGAGCGACCTATTCCGATATCTGCATCCAAACAGTACAACACAACTTAACATGCTTTATCATTACACGTCTACCTACCTAAACGTGTAACTCAGCTCTATAATGATGCAAGACGTATATCTCAGCATGATACAATATAGACAAAATTATATTCTCAACAGTTTAGCTAAAACAATTAATAATATTTTATTTAAATCTCAACTTTTAAATCAATTAATAATAGTTACAACATAGAAATATCTCTTATCTAAGAGATCTGACAAAACCATCTCAACTTCTTATAATAACATACCAAATTGTTTCAAACATTGTTTAATAGCTAAAGTAAGCTCCTCTTACCTTAGAACAACGATTTACACTAGATCTAC